AGTTATAATATTATTATATGTACCTCCATAATATATCTTAAAATTTATATTAAATTATGCAGGCTGAAAGATTTCCAAAAGTTATACAGGCGTCTAAGAAAAAAATTGAACGAACGATGTTTTTTAATATTGTAGTACGATTTGGAAATATGGTGTTGGAATAAAATGAGAAAAATTCAAACAACAGATAATGACTAAAATATCATAGAATTGGAAGGTATATTTTGCATCGATGATGCTATATAATACTAATTCGTAAAAACGGCGCGCCGACACGTCACTTAGCGGAGACGCTACAACGGCAACACGGCGTGTTAGCGACCAATTATCAGCTGTTCAACCAGGAACTCGGTCCTCGCCACCACCGCACCACTATTATCTCTCCTCRTTCAAAATGAAAACCTACGCTTATCACTTTAATTCAGTGTTATCACACCCGACGACCAGAACCGGACGTGTACACCGTTTCTACACCTACAGCTTAGGTACAACTTACTGGTCCGGGCGGTCCGGCCCGACAAGTCGACGTAAAAAGTAAWAACTACGAAGTATCGTTTATCATATTTAATTATTTTTATCAATATTGTCGATTTAACATTTAAACATTACATTGATAATAATTCGTACTCACGCCTTGGTGGTAGTAGCTGCGGTCCGTTCCAACACTGTCGTGTTTTATCGGTAGTCGACCGACGAAAACGGTGGTCGTGCGACGGTACCGACCAACAACGGTAAGCAGTGGATAGAGCGAGGCGACGGCGACACGATACGATACTGCCATTCGGTCGTGATCGTCGGCGGCCGGCGACGTCGTTTCGCGCTCGCCGTGAACCTTTCACTCTCGAGCGCAACGCGTTGTCTCACGCTCAGTGCGACCTCGACACCCGTGCTAAACTATTGCGTCGTCCCGATGAATTGTTATTACATTATTAGTTATTACGATTATAGTATTGCTATTTACGTGACAACGTAAATTTGTCTTTAGTTTATACCTACCTACATTCACGACTAGTAATAATCGAACGACTGTTATTATTTTTCATTATGCAATGATAATAGGCATGGTTATTAATTTATTATTATTATTATTACATTGATATAAGGTGAAACGCGTTTACCATGTTTTGTAATATAGTAATATAATATAACGAACGAATATGCGTTGCTATTGCTGTAGTTGCATTGCATAGACGCATAGTTTTTTTTATTATCTTTCTTTACACGGAATTTTTATACAACTTGAAATTTGAATTATCGTCATTGTAGTGTGATACAGATTTACAAAATGTTTGGGGCTAAGCAATGTGAAAACAGTATGGCCCTCATGTAGTGATTTTCACACAAAAAAAAAATGTTTGCATCAAGACATAATGTTGGGAGTAAATGTGCAATTCTATGATGTTTACTCATCATYAATCAATTATCACGTAGTACCTATAATATTTTAATATCAGATATATTATACAGAGTGTCTCACAATGATCCGACATATTATTATGGAATAACTTTTTTTTTCTGTATAATTCATATACTTGCGCTACATTTTTTTTTTATTTGTTAATACTGAAAGAAAAAAAAAATTAAAAATTGATAAAAATTTTTTTGGATAAATTAAAAATAGCCTATTTGTGAATCTAATTATAAAACAATTTTTGATGGTAAAAAGATTTATCCAAGTCAAGTAGTTAATTTTTAGATTTTTTGTAAAAAATTCAATATTTTTTTCTTATTAATGTGGGACGTAATAACTTTTTTAAAAATATGATTTTTAAGAATTTGCTGATCGTATAATATTATTAACAGTTTTTTTCATACTTTTAATTATTAGCATAATTTTTTTTTTGTCGGATCTTTCTGATAAACACTGTATAGGAAATTTTTAAGCGAGATATTGAATACCTTTATATAAAAAACTATTACTCGTACTTTTACAATTAATTTAAATAGCAATTATTTGTGTAGGTACCTATGTCGATAGAAACTTTATAGTATTATATAGAATGTTTTTTAAAAATCTATATGGAACAGGTACCTAACCTAACCTAACCTATACTACAATGTTTTTATAATAGGTAATTTACTCTTATTGATTCCAATTTGAGATTATTTAATATTATCTTTTATCAGACCTGAATCATGATACCTACTACCTAATACTACAGTAATTTACAAATAAATTATTCAAGTTGTATAATTTAATATAAAATCGAAAAACTATTTGATACAGGTAATCCAAAATATCACATTAAAATAGATTTTCCATATGATTAATAAACTGATATTAGTTTATTTTTCCAATTCATATTTAAGTTATATAAATTAAATAAACACAAAAAATAGGACTATCTAATAAACTGTAATTACAAAATAAAAATACATAAATATTACACCTGTATATAGTAGTTGTCTTTTTGAATGAAAGTTATCTTTGATAAACATAAAGGTACTGTTATGCATAATAAATAATCTAGGATATCATTAAAGATAATAAATATACATATAATATACTCTTACTTATTAAATATTTTGCTACTAAAATAAGTTTTAAATCACCCATATAATCATCATATTTTTARCAATAAATTCTATAACACTGTAGTACTGAAATTAAAAATATTATTTATTTTAAATTAAACCAAAAACTTTAACAATATTCACTATTCTTTAAGGTTAGGTTATTCATAAGACTTGCAGAGTTATCTACGTAGTGATATTGTAGTTGTGGTAGGTAGAGCAGTAGAGCACCTATACTTATATTAATTTTGCAGCCATCACTTAATACAATTGCAATGTTTTATTACAATAATTGTTGCATATTCCATATTGAATCACTTTAAGAAATATGCTCATAAAAATAAAAAACAATACATAAATATAAAATACAGATTTATTCTGCGATCTTCTTAACCTTTCACAGACGTTGTTTATCATATTGCGTATGATGAGCAGCTATATCAGCTACAAATAAATTGTTATCTAATTTTATAGTTAAAATAAAATTATATTCTTATAACGATGATACTTAGGTACCAACATTGAGGTGTTATTTTAATGATATGAATGACTATATTTTAATATATTCATGATGGAAAAACCAAACCTTAAAATAATTAAATAAGATTAAGTATAATTCCATATAAACAATTTATTAATGCGTCTTCGTATTTTGAGTCATAGTTTTTATGAATTACGCCAGATTTTACCAATGCATGTGATTCGTACAGTATATTTAGCCCTATACCAAGCAATAATACAATATGGACTATTAATTTGGGGAGGTATCTCAGCTAATGCACTGAAACCATTGTTAATACATCAAAGACAAATAGTTCGTATATGTTTACATAAATCCACTC